TATGACAGTATATACAAAACCTTCATTAAACTAACAGATTTTAATATTTACTAGATTGAATACTGTCCCTTACAAGAATTGAGACCAACCAACACTAGGTAAAGTCTAGTAGCACCCAATCACTATTACCCTGTGAGTGTTCAATAAAGCAAAGTGTTGGTAAATTTTTTTTAAAATCAATTCTTAGTAAATATGGACCAAGAGGAGAGAAAAATAATGGATACATTTGCATGCAAAAGCATTAAAACATATCTCCCTTTCAATCTATATTGCAAAGAAAGCCAGTGGCAAAATAGGTTAGGTCTCACAGTAACAGTATCTTCAAATGATACGATAAATATGAAGTTTGTTAGAACCTGCTATCATCCTTTGGCACCAGATACGTTTTTTAAATAAAATAATATAAAAGGGAAAATATCTTTTCACTGATTTTATTTCCGGGGACATTTATCCTTATGGCTTTGACCTCCTGGGACAGTATGCATGATAGAGGTTCCCTCCCCAGAAACCCTAGACCCGTGCACATTAGGCCATTTTAGGGGAAGGAATCTCTCAGGATCACAATCTTTCTCCCTCAAATCAAATGAAGAAAGCCATAAGGCTGTCACTAATAACTTATTAAATGATATAGCTCCCCAAATCTTGGGTCTCGAGTAAAGGATTTAAGGCACATACTTTGTGACCACAACTAAAATCACTGCTACCTTTAAAAAGATCATGATTATAATGAAAATACAAAATTGCACACTATTAAATTCATTTATGTTATATAGAGTATAGTGCTTAATATAGAAACAGGGAAGGTCAAGTATTTTCTTTTTCCTAATACAAAGAGAATCAGAACTATGCATTACAGGTCACACTGTTTAAAACCTATATATTAGCCATAAATGTTGTTAAATGCCTAGCACAGCTTAAAAGTTCACTATTTTGGACTAACTAGGGAGTAACATTTTCACTGACATACTAAAATCCCTACTTTTGAATGAGAAGAAATGCACCTTATTAAGGTAAAAATAAGGTATTTCTAACTAAATGCAGATTAACTAATCTTATATATACATAACTGATAAAGTTTTGTCTACAATGGGTCTTATGAAGATTTAGTAATAACCAACATTAACTTTCTATGTAAACAGCTACTGCTAAAATGCTTTAGAAGATCAGCTTTATTTGCTGTATTTGCTTAGTGTTTTTCTTTTTTACATAGTGAAAAGGTAAACATTAACTAAGGCTACCTGCTGTACTACAAACTCCAGTTTCATGAGGTATTACTTTCTCCCTTTTGGGAAGAGCAAGGTTTGGGCTAAGAAATCCTATTATTTGCTGGCCCTTAAGTATAGAGAGATGTGGACAATCTCCCAATAGCAGACACTGAATAAATCTAGTGTAAAAGTTTCTGAATGGTAGTCACTATAGAAATTAATTTTAACACAATTCAGTGTTACTTTAAAGGCTTTCTTGGCTTAGGACTATCCCAAAGTGTCTGGTGACTTCTCTTTCCCTGCCCTTTGTTGCTTTTAAAGATTTCTCAGTTAACACTCCAGCGGTCAGCCTTTTCCTTTTCTTCTTTTGTTTAAATCTGTTATTTACAAAATCTGGTAGAATTACATTACAATGCACTATTGTGGGCTTTTATTTACATCAACACAAAAATTTCTCAAATTTGAAGTCGTTTACAGTGCAAGTCTTTATTTTTAAGTGTGCTAAAATTCTAAATATCAAGAATTTTAGAACAAGAAATACCTTCAGCACCCATTTATAAGTAAAATATGACCAGTCATCTTTGGATCTACCTCCAGTACTCAAATACAGGAATACTGGGAACCCTGGACAGCTGGTGCTTATGTCAGCCAAGTCTCTGGCATCATGGAATCAAAATATCATATTAACTAATATTCCTAGTTCCTAAAATCCTAGGACTATCTCATCCACTCAGTTTGGTTATACTGAGAGAAATGGATTCCAGGAATAAAGACTACTAAGAATGCACAGTGTACCCTTTGCAATTTCAAATATTAGCACTGAAGAGTTCTATACTAAATGTGTTAATGTTTTTGCTCAAGTAGTTTTATCCAGATTTGGTCACTAAAATTGTCCAAGTAGAGCAGTATCAAAAACTTATTTCATTATGAAAATTAGGTTTTGCTGATCCTGTACATGTCTTTACAAACCCATTTAAGCTTATTAACTGCAATTAAACACAAACATGATTTAGGAACTAATGAGACAGACTATCATTTTAAATACATAGTCAGCTAAATAACGTGGGAGCTGATTATCTAGTTTCTAGATTATCAAGTCCCTTGCATCTCACCTTCTGGGTAATTTCTATAATCATTGTTATGAAAAAAAGGGAAAGGAAAAGAAACATGGAAAAGCTAAGAAATTATCAGCAGCTCTTGTAAAAGTTAGGTCAAACATTAAAAGAAGATAAAACAGTTAAAATGTAGATTTCATTAAAAGTCACCAACAACACGGATCACAGATTTTTCAACTACACATAGTAAGAATCGCAACATTTTGTTGAAGCAACACTGTGGTGTAAATCAACATTATATGGCAAATGCCAGAAACTATTTCTGGTTGGATTTATTTACATCTGTAAAAGATGAAGCAGTATACCCTCTTTCTAGGAAACTTGAAAAAGGATGTAAGGCTAAGTACTATATTTACATAACTACCTATTTATTTTACAAGGAATAACTCTTAGAAGACTATTCAAGCTGTTGCTGAGGTCAAGCTAGTAATCAATTAGAAAGTAAGCAAATTACATGAGGAAATTTCTAGTTAACAAAAAAAAAAAAAAACCAAGAAAGCAGAGACATGTATGCCAGAAAAAATGTGGTACTACAATTTGCATATTTTACTATGAATACAATATTTTTCTATGAAAATATCTTAACTAAGTCACTTACTTAAAAAACATTTCACATTTGTAATTTAGGCACAGTCTAGGTCATCTTTACCTGTCATAATTATGCAGTTTGCAGCTTGCTGTGGCTCATATGAAGCAAGCAAAAATTTTATTACCTTTATTTTATGATATAATCACCCACGTACTACTTTTCTAGGTACTAGAAACATATTAGATTACTTCTATACACATAGTCAGCAAATTTCAAACAAAAGAAAAAAAATCTTACTACATAACAAGGTGAAGGTGAAGGGATTCATTCTATAGCAGCGTTTCACAACTGCAGTTCATGAAACTCATGTTTCATGAATTAACATATAAACACAAACCCTGAATTATCCTATACTACTGTCTCTTCTAAAATAAAAAAATATATGAAAAAGTCCTTATACACATACATATTATTATACAACAATATGCTTTCAAGAAATAGTGTGCCAAAAATGACAGAAGTCAAGTGATCATCAGATGTTCTAATGCCTATCTGACCTGTATATTACTGTATATTGACATTTACCAACAAACCATCATGTTATTATAGGTTGGTCATCTAATTATTTACTTTATATCAACTTAGAGTTGTACTATTATTCAATCTTTATTGCATATTTACCTAGTTAAAAGAAATCTGGTAATTTCTACTAGCAATTAATTTGTGAATCTATTTTTCTGTTACACTGTCAAGATATAGTATATTTAATATGTTCTGTTTTATTAATACTTTATTTTCAAAAAATATTCCATAGTTAAAATAGTCTTAGAAACTGTTTAACTGTATATAAACACAGTGACTCCCTTCCTCAATTTTATCTGGCTTGTTGTCAAGATTTTCTAGTTGTATTACATTTTCTTTAAAATACAGGGGAAGGTACAGTTCAGTACATACACAGGCAAAGGAATTGTATTTGACTATTAAAAATTTAAACTGTTTTCCCCCACTCATTTAATGCAAGGCATAAAGAAGCTTTCTTAGTTTACATTTCTGCTATAATTTTCTGTCAAAAACCATTACTCTGCTGGGTATGGTGATTCATGCTTATAATCCCAGTACTTTGAGATCAGCCTGGGCAATTTGGCAAGAACTTATCTCTACAATAAATCAAAAAATTAGTCGGGTGTGGTGGCATGCGCCTGTAGTTCCAGCTACTTGGAAGGCTGAGGTAGAAGGATCATCTGAGCCCAGCAAGTTGAGGCTGTGGTGGACGGGAGCGTGCCACTGCACTCCAGCCTGGGTAACAGAGTGAAACTTCCACTCAAAAAAAAAAAAAAAAGATTATTCTGTCTTATGCTGAATAGATTGATCAAGACTGTGGGCTCACATTAAGTGTAAAAGTGGTGTGCTTAAGGGATCACTAGACATTTAAGCAAAAAAATGGAAGTTCAGATGGCCATGAGATCACGTTAGATACAGTTATTTACCTAGTTCTGTAAAGCATATTTTAAAGTGTTCTGCATAGTATGTCAGGCTATAGGTTGCTTTGGCATTATTTATCAGATATATTTCTATATCCTTGCTAGAATTAAGGCACTATAATAGTCATTGCTGGATTATATAAGATTAATAACAATTATATAGAACAAGGGAATGGAACTAAAGAATTTTAATATCCCACTTAAAAGTTATATCCCTTACTTTGCTAGTTAGTTGGTCAGAAAGGTTTAGGTCCTAAACCTGTGTAACCATCTGTGAGCTTCTCTGAATAGCTCTGTAATCTAGACATATAAAGGAGAGCTAATCCTGTTTATGATAGTTTTCTATCTAAACTCTGGTAATAATTACAACTTTGGTAATTTCTTGCTTTCTTCAACTCAACTGCCATAACTATTCATGGCTTTATTACAGCAAGGTTCTTCAGAAAGTAACATTCTATTGTGTGATTCATGCAAAACTTGAGTGAAAGTTGCAAATAACCAGCCAAATTTGGAACCTCCATTCAGAATAAACTATATTAAAAGACTTCAAACATGGAGCTACTCATCCCTGCTGAATGAACAGATGAAACACAAAATCTTTTGCATCATCCCTGACTCTTTCATGAATACTAAAGATGAAGATGAGACTTCTAGTGAACTGAAAGCTCTGTTTTCTTTTCTAACCATTTTTATTCAGTTTTTTAGTCTATCTCACCCTGAACTCTTGTTCAACCAAGAAGAACTTTCTGCATTCTGTGTGCGGCAACACTAGCTTCATCTTCTGAGTCAGATTCACTCTGGGATGTAGAGCTGTGAGAGGCAGAACTGCAGGGAGAAGAGCATTCTGGAGAGCATAAGTAGTGCATCAGTGGGAGGCGATATTTCCCACAGAAGTCCACAAATTTAATTTGTCTGACACAGCAGTCGAAGTACACTCCTAGAGAAAAGGAATACAGAGTAATCATTAAAAAGCAAGGAATCAAAGTTTCTTCTTCAACACTTTCCCCAGCGTTCTGAAGAACCACCTTCTCTTTTGTAAATCTTAAGCAGAAGTATTACTTGCTTCTACAGTTGTCTATAGACCTGCTGGAAGATCTTAGGGGTGGTAATTTGGCTGCCAAGAGAAGCCTGGGAGACTCATCTTAAAAGGAGCAGGCACAAGCCGGGCTCGGTGGCTCAGCCTGTAATCCTGCGCCTTTGGGAGGCTGAGGTGAATGGATTGCCTGAGCCCGCAGGTTCGAGACCCGCCTGGGCAGCGAGACCTCATCTCTACAATAAATAAAAAAATCAGCCGGGCGTGGTAGTGCATGCCTGTAATCCCGGCTACACAGAAGGCTGAGGCGGAAGGATCGCCGGAGCCCAGCAGGTCGAGGCTGCGGTGGCCGGGAGCGGCTACTGCACTCCAGTCTGGGCAACAGAGTGAGACTCCAACTCAAAAAAAAAACAAAAAACCAAAAAAAAAAAGGAGCAGGCACAGAAAGGATACTGTTTACTTAGTTTCTTTTCTCTGGGTGACTAGCAGGACAGCAATCAAGATTACAGGATATCTTTCTCCATCTCCCAAGCCATCCCTTTGGTACTATCCCATAGTCAGGAGACTGAAACAAAACAAATCCTTTAATAGTGATCCAAAAGAATTAGTTATTATATACAAAATCTACAGAAAGTGATGGCTTTTAGCACAGCAAAACTGAAAGAAACAAAATGCCATCTTATATTTCCACAGGCTCTAAATTTACAGGTCTCAAAGCTGTTTGATGATCTCACTTGATTCTCACACAATTATAGAGTCAGGTAGACTGAAAGTAGTAGTTAGCCCTTTTGATTCCTAAGTTAGTGCTCCTGAACTGTGGCCCTTCAGCTAAGTAAAAATAGAGCTGGAACTGAGAGAAAAACAGGTTGCTGGCTGTGCTTCTGGGTTCTAGTTGATCCTTAAAAAGATATTGCACATCACTAGCATACAAACACTGTCACAATTATTGCAGTATAACCAGCACATCTAGGAAGTTGGCTCCCATTGCCTCTTTGGAGAAGATTCTTAACCTTTATACTCTACCTAAGTTTCTTCTGGCACCAACTACTATGCATAAGAGACAAAAATAAAAAGATGTGGTCCAAGCAAAGGAGAAACAATGATTTCTTTTCTTTCTTTTTTTTTTTGTGAGTTGGAGTCTCACTCTGTCACCCAGACTGGAGTGCAGTGGCCGCTCCCGGGCCACTGCAGCCTCGACCTGCTGGGCTCTGGTAATCCTTCTGCCTCAGTCTTCCAGAATTACAGACATGCACTACCATGCCTGGCTGATTTTTTTATTTATTGTAGAGATGAGGTCTTGCTGTCCAGGCGGGTCTCAAACCTGCGGGCTCAGGCAATCCACTCACCTCAGCCTCCCAAAGGCGCAGAATTACAGGCTGAGCCACCGAGCCCGGCTGAAACAATGATTTCTAATTCTATTTTTTTCTGATACTTCCCCACTAATCATGTAATTTTCTGACCTTGTAGTAAATATAAAGCAGTTTAAAAGGGAAAATTTGTGGTATATTACTTTGAATAATTTAGGAGGGTAAACTAATAGATTAATAAAACCCCCCAAATGTGTTAGCTTCCTGAAAACATGGAAATAGAGTAAAGCATTATGAAGTTACTAGGAGCTAAAATAGCACAATATTATCTTGTCATTTGTAAGATCTCAGACTATACAAAGAGAAAATTTCTCACAGAATATAAAAGTACTTTTGCTTAACTTACAATTCAATAACTAATGAATCTGAGGGGGAAAATATAAAATTCTAGGGTACAGCCGGGCTCGGTGGCTCAGCCTGTAATCCCGCGCCTTTGGGAGGCTGAGGTGAGTGGATTACCTGAGCCCGCGGGTTCGAGACCCGCCTGGGCAGCGAGACCTCATCTCTACAATAAATCAAAAAATCAGCCAGGCGTGGTAGTGCGCGCCTGTAATTCTGGCTACTCGGAAGGCTGAGGCGGAAGGATCGCCAGAGCCCAGAAGGTCAAGGCTGCGGTGGCCAGAAGCAGCCACTGCACTCCAGTCTGGGCGACTGAGTGAGACTCCAACTCAAAAAAAAAAAAAAAAAACAAATTCTAGGGTACATTCTAAAATTGACACACAGTCGGCCCATTCTCATAGATCTTAAATCAAATCCTATAAAAGTATCTGATACAAAGAATGGTGAGTCTAAGAAAATGTGCTTCAAATAAATATGAAAAGTCCAAACATTTTAGAAACTCCTTTTAAACAATTAGAACAGTTTATGCTTCCATTGTGTTTTCTCTCATTTTACCATATTTATTATCTTATGACAAGATAGGATAAAACTTCCTGGGTATTTTCCTTGCGTGTGAATCCTAAAATATTATGAATTTTTTTTAAAAAGGAAAAGAAGCAGAGGGTTAAATGTCTAAGACTAACTGCCTTTTTCTTAAAGAAGACTTAGCTAATTAAGACGACACCTGGATCAAATTAAATTAACTTACCTCCACACTTTGGGTTTGGGCAATTGCTGGCTAAACTCAAATATCTAAGAAGATTCCCAGGAAGATCATAGGGAGTGTAGGAAATATTTCGGGTTTTAATGGTCCGTGCAGCTAATTCCAGGAGAGTTGGAGGGTCATAGATTAAATCTCTAACAAAACGAACAACCAATGGATTTCCTCGTAAACTCAACTCTTCCAAATGAATAAGGTTGAGGATCTCTCTAGGCAAATATGTCAGCAAGTTATTGTGAAGACTGAGGGAACGAAGTGAATGCAACCTAGAATAAACACAGTATAAAAATCAATGGCAGCAAACAACATTACTACCAAGAAAGTTACATTTGTGTGTGTGAGTGCATGCATGCACGGAGCTTAATTTTCCCTTAAGAATGAGCAATTAAGATTAAGTCCAATGGAAGTAAAACAAAAGGGCGCTGAAACTAGATAAGAGTGCAGATCTATAAATGCCATGAAGACTTTTGCCCCTGGAATCTTAATGAGCTCACAACATATAGAGAGTATTTTCATGTGCTAGCTGATATAAATTAAAAGCTAGACACAAAGATTTTGGTGAGGTATGCTTTATCATTCAGACACCTAAAAAGGAAAGATTTCAGATGCAACAGGAGTTTTTAAGATCCTTCATATTATAAAGTCCCATTAGGATAAGAATACTTCATATAAATATAAAATCTCTAAAAATCCCATAAGACATACATATGCTAAACAAGTATTCTTTTATTACTGAAAATAGGCTGAACAAGTATTCTAGGGAATAAACTAGAACATTCAAAGTAAAATTAAGCTGGGCGCGGTGGCTCATACCCGTAATCCCAGCACTTTGGGAGGCAGAGGCGAGGGGATTGTTTGAGTCCAGGTGTTGAAACCAGCCTGGGCAACATGGTGAAACCTTATTGCTACAATAAATAATTTTTAAAAAAGTTAGCCAGCCATGGTGGTGTGCGCCTGTAGTTCTAGCTACCTGGAAGACTGAGGCGGAAGGATTGCCTGAGCCCAGTGGGTCGAGGCTGCAGTGGCTGTGAGTGTGGCACTGCACTCCAGCCTGGGCATCAGAGTGAGACTCTGACTCAAAAAAAGAGTAAAATTAGAAATAATCCAGCTCACAGTAAACCTCAGAACTATAATTATCATGTAATATTTACTTTGAGACTAGCTAATTTTTTTCTACATATAAAACATATGAGTGAATGCAAGAGAATACTTACTAAGCGTGGATGTCTGTGTATATACAAACCCTCAAAACTACTCACTGTGAGAGCTGTGGAGGCACACTCTGGATTTTGTTGTCACATAATACCAAGTAATTCAGAGAAGGCAGATTTGCTAATTCTGGTGGGATTTCTTTGATGAAGTTTCCTCCAAGATATAAACACTCTAAACTGCAAAAACAAAGGAACAAAACCAAAAAAGTAAATAAATAAAAGTTGAACAAGCTACTCCACTTTTTCTACTACAATGAATACATTTCATCTATTTATTCAGCAAATGTTTTACTTAGGATTTGCTATGTGCTATCCAGTCTCTAGAGAAATAATATAATCTTCAGAGAACTCAGTTCCTGAAGCTAAACAGATGAGATATCAGCATTAGACAATATTATAGTTAAACACAAACAGACCAAAAATAAGTATTGCATGATTAAAATCACAAAATAAGAGGAACAATCCATACACGATAGAGGAATTGAATGAAAAGGAAGAGAAATAAGAAAAGGGCACAGTACTTCTGACTGGAAAGATGGTCAAAAGGCTTGTGATTTCATCTGGGCTATGAATTTAGCCCACTTAGATGGGAAGAAAGGGGACGACACTTCAGGTTGGAATAGAGGACTTGTAAGGCACAATGAGTACACTTTTTAATGGAAGAAGATAATTCATCTTGAGAAATCATGAATAAGGCTGGAGAGACGCCAAATTCCAGGAACCCCGAATTCCATACTGACCTGAATCTGATGCACTAGTAGGCCCCAGGAAAACCAATAACTTTTTTTTGAAGAGTAGAAAACTATGTCTGAAGTCTCTACATCTCTTCTTTGTTCTTATTACAGCAAATACAACCTTCAGAGGATGTCTAAATTGACCACTACCATGAAATTAAAACTCCAGATAATTCTTGTTTTCCAATAAGTAGTTAAACATTTTAGACACAGTCTGTATTGCACCAAAATGTAATGCTTTCTGTGGTGATGACCCTCTAAAAGATCTTTGCAGAGTGTAGCAGAATCAGTTCTTAAAATACATATAAAAATAAATAAGCCGGGCTTGGTGGCACAGCCTGTAATCCCGCACCTTTGGGAGGCTGAGGTGAGTGGATTGCCTGAGTCCGTGGGTTCGAGACCTGCCTGGGCAGCGAGACCTCATCTCTACAATAAATCAAAAAATCAGCCGGGCGTGGTAGCGCATAGCTGTAATTCCAGCTACTTGGAAGGCTGAGGTGGAAGGATCGCCGAAGCCCAGCAGGTCGAGGCTGCGGTAGCCAGGCGCGGCCACTGCACTCCAATCTAGGCGACAGAGTGAGACTCCAACTCAAAAAATAAATAAATAAATAAATAAATAAATAAATAAATAAAATGTATATATACATACACAGATTCTATTATCATATTACGTTTGTCTTCCTGTTTAATCTGCTAACTCAGTAGAATTATCATTCTTTAAAAATACCTTTAACTGTAGGATAAAACAGCTAAAGTGTTACCTATTATCCTAGATAATAGTAAGAATTATTTAGAATACTTAACAAAGAAAACAAAGTCCAGGCCCCATCTAGATGTACTAAATCAGAGTTCCAACAGAGAGGCCTGAGAAATGGCAGATTTTAGAGTACAAGGTGTAATTTTAACAGATAAAGCCAAGTTGCCCTGCAGAGATATGGTTATATACAAATCCACAATTAGCATTTAAGAACACACCTTATGAGCATGCCACTGTACTCCAGCCTGGGCAACAGAGTGAGACTACCAATTTAAAAAAAAAAAAACCTCCCCCCCAACACACCTTAACCTACAGCGTTACCAACATTTAGTATTATTACTAGCTTTAATATTATCTTTTATTACTGATGGTATAAAAAAAGGTACATTTTTAAAAAATCTGCAGTTCCCTAATTATTAGTGAAGTTTAGCATCTTTTTGTATGTTTTAGCCATTTGTATTTTTAGACAATTGCTTGTTCATACCATTTAACCATTTTTCTCATGGGTTATACAGCATTCTCTCATTAATTTGCTAAGTTGTCTGCTGTTAAATATATGTTCGGCATAACTTTACTCCCTTGTGGCCTAGAGCATGATCTATTTTTGTTCATGTATTATATGTATAAAAAGAATTTGTAGCTTTTAGATTGAGTTTGATAATTGAGCAAACATTTTATAGTTTTTTTTTATTATTTTGCCTTCTTACTCTGGTGGTTAGTCTCCTACTGTAACCATGGTTTTCCTTCTTGCCTTCAGAGTTCTGGGCTCAAACAATCCTCTCGCCTCAACCTACCAAAGTGCTGTGATTACAGGCGTGAGCCGCTGTGCCCTGCTGAATCTGAAATTTAAAAAACAGTAAGAAGCCAGGCTCGGTGGCTCAGCCTATAATCCCGCGCTTTGGGAGGCTGACGTGAGTGGATTGCCTGAGCTGGGCAACTTGGCGAGACCTCATCTCAACAATAAATCAAAAAATTAGCCGGGCGTGATAGCATGCTCCTGTAGTTCCAGCTACTCGGAAGGCGGAGGCGGAAGGATCGCTGGAGCCCAGCAGGTCGAGGCTGCGGTGGCCGGGAGCGGCCACTGCACTCCAGTCTGGGCGACAGAGTGAGACTCCAACTAAAAACAAAACAAAACAAACAAACAAAAAACCCAGTAAGGTTCGATGCAGTGGTCATGCCTCTAACCCCAGCATTTTAGAAGGCTAAAGTGGGATATAAAAGCTATACTGCAAACACATTCAAGTTCATGACTGCATCGGACCTTACTGGTTTTTAAATTTCAGATTCAGCAGGGCACAGTGGCTCACGCCTGTAATCCCAGCACTTTGGGAGGTTGAGGCGAGAGAATTGTTTGAGCCCAGGAATTTGAGACCAGCCTGGGCATTTTTGCTCCATTTCCTTTCTTTTTTTTTTGAGTTGGAGTCTCACTCTGTCACCCAGACTGGAGTACAGTGACCGCTTCCCGCCACTGCAGCCTCGACCTGCTGGCCTCCGGCAATTCTTCCGCCTCAGCCTTCCAAGTAGCTAGAACTACAGGCGTGCTACCATGCCCGGCTAATTTTTTGATTTATTGTAAAGACGAGGTCTCGCCAAGTTGCCTAGGTGGGCCTCGAACCCGCGGGCTCAGGTAATCCACTCACCTTGGCCTCCCAAAGCGCTGGGATTACAGGCTGAGACACCGAGCGCAGCCTCCATTTTCTTTCAATATATAGAAGCTATATTGCAAACACATTCAAGTTCATGACTGTTAAGAACTTTCTGAAATGTTTCTTAATTCATATGAACCATTACACTTTGTCCCTTTAAATCCATTTACCCTTAAAACCTATTTCCTCTGATTATCAATAGTGTTTACCAGTTTTATTTTTTGTTAGTATTTATTCCATTCAATCCTAGTTCCACCACTTATCAGTATAAAAACTTGGACCAGCTACTTAATTTTGCAGTTTCCTCTTATTTAAAATGGATTATATATTACATAAAATGATTAGTCAACAAGTAGATTCAGGGTCTCATTCTGTCACCCAGGCTGAAATGCAGTGGCATGATCACAGCTCAACAGAGCCTTGACCTCCTGGCTACGCCTGGCTAATTTTTAAAAAGGCTTTTGCAGAAATGAGGTCTCACTAAGTTACCTAGGCTGATTCCAACTTCTGGGCTCAAGCAATCTTCCTACCTTAGCCTCTCAAAATGCTGGGATTAGAGGCATGACCACTGCCTCTGACCTTACTGTTTTTTAAATTTCAGATTCAGCTCACGCCTGTAATCCCAGCACTTTGAGAGGTTGAGGCGAGAGGATTGTTTGAGCCCAGGAATTTGAGACCAACCTGGGCAACAAAGCGAGACCTCGTCTCTACAAAAATAAAAAAATTAGACAGACATAGTATCACATGCCTGTAGTCCCAGCTACTTGGGAGGCTGAGTTGGAAGGATCACCTGAGCCTAGAAGGTTGAGACTGTGGTGAGCTGTGATCATGCCATTGCCCTCCAGTCTGGATGATAGAATGAGATCCCAACTCAAAAAAAAAAAAAAAAAAATTAGATTCAGAGAGTTTATGTGCAGATTTGTTTCAAGGGTGCTATTGTATGATGGTGAGGTTTGGGCCTCCATTGAACTCATTACCCAAACAATGAACATGGTACCCAACAGGTAGTTTTTCAACTCTTGCTTCCTCTTTCCCTCCCCACTTTAGGTTTTAAAGTGTCTCTTGATCCCATCTTTATGTTTGTGTGTACCCAGCGTTCAGTTCCCACTTATAAGTGAGATCGTGCAGTATTTGATTTTCTGTTTCTGGACTAATTCACAAGAAGCTTATATTTCAGACAATAAATCAGTAAATACGTATCTATTATGCCAGATAATTTTAAGTGTCATAAGAAGAAGGGGGGGAGTAATCAAATAGTGATAGAGGTGACACTCTAGATAAGGATCAGGAAAAGTTTCTCTTACGAGATGACATTTGAACAGAGATCTAAATGAAATGATTGAATACAAACCCGAGACAGAAAAGTGATTGGTGTGTCGTAAAACAGCAGCACAGCCAGCATGGGCACATCAGAGTGACTGAGGTGGGACTGTGGTAATCAAAGAGGTTGAAGAGGTAGCCTGGGAAGGCCAGATCACAGAAGGCCCTTTGGGTCTTTGTAAGAAGTGTTCTGAAAAGAGTTTTGAACTAAAGTTAGAAGTTTAACTTGACTCACTCTTTAGAAGAATCACAGGTCATTGTGTGGCAAACAGTTGGAGAAGTGGTGAGGGGCTCTATGGGCAGAAGTGGAAGCAGGAAAAGCAGACTGGAGCATAAAGTAGTAGTTCAGATGAACACAAATGTGATTGGTACATCTTTTTCTATCCCTTTACCCTTATTGGTGTATTTTTATTTTAAGTGTAAGTCTTATAAATGGAGTACAATTTAATTGTTGTCTAGACTTAGGTTTTCTATTACCATTGTATGTCTTAATATTTTTCCCCTGCAGTTTTGCTTCTTGTGCTTATCAGGTTTCCTTGTGTTCCACTCCTCTTCTGTTTGAAATGCATATGCTGGCCAGGCTCGGTGGCTCAGCCTGTAATCCCAGCACTTTGGAAGGTCGAGGCGAGTGGATTGCCTGAGCCCGCAGGTCCCAGATCCACCCAGGCAACTTTGCAAGACCTCATCGCTACAAAAATCAAAAATTAGCCAGGCGTGGTA